TGCGCCGCCGCCTGAGCGCCGCCAGCCTCCTTGCCGGCCCGGTGCATGGAGTAGACGACGAACAGCACCGGGGGCGCCGAGAGCAGCAGGATGTGGAAGAGCCAGAAGCGGTAGTGGGAGACCGGGAAGGCGCGATCGTAGCAGGTCTGGCGACAGCCCGGCTGCAGCGTGTTGCATACGAACTCCTCTTGCTCGTCCTCGAACACTGCGCCGCCCACCGTGGCCAGCACCAGGATGCGGAAGATCAGCATGACCACCAGCCAGAGGCGGCCCACGAGCGGCGACTGCAGCTGCACGGCGTCCAGCAGCGAGCCCAGGAACGCCCACTCCCCCATGGCGCTGGGGACGCGGGGCGGGGAGTCAGGGGATGGGGCAGGTCAGAGACCCCCGCCCCTTCCGCGCCCATCGGGGTGGGGTCCGTTGGGCCTTCTCTGACTTCAGGGTGAGTAGTGGTGTGGGAGAGGCCCGGGTTTAACGATGAGACCAGTGTGAAAGGGAGGGCCACGGGAGGGCCACGGGAGGGCCCGAGGGGAGCAGGCGACGCTCAGCTATAGGTTCCCTTCTCTTTGGGGCCGATGGGTGCTGGGGAGGAGCCCCCATTTGCATTTTAGCCGCACCCCCTGTGCCGTCTCCGTTCGACCCTGGGATCCTCCAGATCCCAGATTCTTAGGAAGGACCTTGGAGATCAGCTGGGCCAGCCCCTGACTTGCCTTGTGGAAGCGGAAATCCAGCGGTGCCCTTAGCTGTCAAGGATGCTGTGGGAAGAGTGGAGCCTCGAACCCCGAGCCTCCAGACCCAATTTGGTGCCCCTGGGAGGAGTGGGAGTGGCGGAGGCAGCGAGACCACTCCTTTCTCGGCCGACCATTTCTCTCGCCATTTTCACTGCAGTGAACTCCTCTCAGTGTGGGGGGCTGGTACAGAGGCAACGCCACTTTCGTAACTGTCACAGGGTCCCTTGTCAGAGGTGTCCCTGCTCTCCTACCCCAGCGTGGTGGGAATGCGGAGCCAGGCCTCTCCCTCCTCCCCAGCCTCCTGTGCCTCCAGCCTCCATATCTCCTGAGACCCTCTCCACCCCACACTCACACAGGTCCCCACACACCGCTGGTGCCCCTAAACCATCACCCAACCCCACTCACCCTGGGGCCGGGACTGGGGTGTCAGAGCTGAGCCAGGGACCTTGGGAGGTGGCTGGGACCGGCGCCTCCTTCTCCCTCTTTCATTTTCCCTTTCGGATTTGGCCAGGATGGAGGACAGGACAGGATGGCTGAGAGGGGTTAGCGCTCCCCCTTCTCTTAAAGGAACAGGGTGACCCTGTTGACTGGCTCCGCCCTTGGGAACAGGCACGGGCCACGCCCCTTGCTGGGCTCTGTGGCCCTCACTTTTTGGCCCCCCACCCCATAGCTAAATTTCCATCTGGAAATGGGGGAGGGGGTTAACCAGAGCCACATCCTTTACCAAGGAAGCTGGGGGGTTCCTAGAAGCCCTTCCCAGAGAGACCCTCAGCCTGGAGCCTCGATCCCCTATGCACTAACCATGCCCTGTGAAGATGGTCTTTGGGGACAGAGGGAGGTTTGCTGCTGGAGTTTAAGGGGCAGCAAACATCTAACAGCTTCTGGTTCCAGCTTTGCCACCGCTCACCTTGGACAAGTCATTTGGCGGTACTGAGCCAGGCTTTCCTGCCTTGTCAACCAAGGTGTCCAGACCAGCTGACCCCCAAGTTTCCTTCCAGCTCTACATCTTTTTTGGAACGGGGTCTCTCTAAGTAGCCCAGGTTGATCTTAAACTCCTGGCTTCAAGTGATCCTCACACCTCAGACTCCTGAGTAACTGGGATTCTCTACTTCTGAATATTGAGTTCCCAACCATATGACAGAGAACCAAAAAAACCCTCATGCCTGGAAAAAAAAAAAAAAAAAATCCCATATGGAAAACCATTAAAATATCCCAAGTGCCTGGCTTTGGTAGTTAAATAAAATCTTTGGTTTCCTTCCCACTTTTCTGTAATTTCCAACTTTACTATAATGAACATGTTATTTATTTATTTATTTATTTTATTTGTTTTTTTGAGACAGCGTCTCGCTCTGTCGCCCAGGCTGGAGTGCAGTGGCACGATCTTGGCT